TTCTCCTCTTGGCATCTTATTAGCAAGATAAGCAAGGTGCTGCAGCTCCGAGGTGCTATGTATGTTCTGCAGTGTCAGAATCTCAAGATGAATCCCTAATAAGGCAGCTGTCGTTATATATAAGCAAAAGCTACCCTGAGCAAACAGAATACTGCGACAGTAGGCAATGAGTCAGGATGCTACAGAGAGTTCAGTAACATGCTTAGGAAAGTTTTAACTCAGGTTTACTCCTTCTGAAGCGGTTTTGTTGTTGTTGTTGTTTTTCCCCCAAAAAGTTTGATTTCCTTTAACAAAAACAATGTGGGTTTTTTTGGTTTTGGTTTTTTTTTTCCAAAAGGGCTCACAATGAACATCTAGAAGAGGGAGATTCCCTGTGCACTAGTGCTGATAAGGTACAAACAGCAGGAACAGAAATACTGACATCAGTTGCTAGTAGCTGTGTATCAATCCCAACCTCGTCTGATCTCTGCCTCAACCCAAAGGGCACTTGGTCAGCTGCATACCATGTGCTGTGGAATGGCCACGCAAAGCCTATCAAGAAGACCTTTTATGCCTACAAAACTGGCTTAAACCCCTGGATTTGCACTGATGTGAAAGAATGCAGCATTTTTCAGTGCTTTGCTTGCTTGCTAGTCACATTATAGAACTGCCACAAACTTAGAGTCAAAGCCAGGTTCCCAATTATTGCCACATCTGGCCATCTCTGAAAGTCCCAGAAGCAAAGAGAATGGGATACCCATCTCCACATCCTATAGAAGCAGCTGGGGAGGCCATCCTCATCCCTGCCTCCAGTAGTTTGAACAATAAGCCAGCCCCATGCAGCTGCAGGTCTAGTGCTGGTGTTAAGATTCCTTAAAGGAATTGAACATACGAATTGGATGCTTTTCCACTGCATCTGCATAAGGATGCATGTGATGACCTGCCAGTTGAACTTGGAGACAGAAGTCTCACATCTGCAGTACATTTAGTGCGGTTGAAAAACAGAGTGATTCACAGTTTGGGCCTGATCAGATTAACTTTGAAAATACGTGGTGCCATGAGATGTTATGAATCATATCTCTAAATAGAAAAAAAAACAGCTTTGCTGATCAAGCAAAGCCAGAGTTCAGGTTTGAGAGCGGAAGTGACTGGATGACTCGTGAGGGTCAAACAAAGCCCCAGAGATGTGAGTTGAAGACCAGCTCAGGGAGGAGACTGATGGTCCCTTAGGGCCTTACATGTGCAAGCTGTGTGAAGGGGCCTTGTTTCTTGCTCCAGAGCTGAGGAGGGTATGCTGCTGCTAGTGTCTCTGTGGCATGTGATGGCACAGTTGCTCACAGATGACGAGAAATGCTGTGGATGCATCTGAGATAAAGCCAAACTTAAATGGCCAAATTCTTTTTGAAAGCACAGTGGAAGAGGCAATTGAAGGAGCCTCCGAGCAGTGATCCTAGGAGTGTTTTGAGGAGTACACAATCACAGCCAAGATTGTCCAGAGTCTGTATGTAAACATGCATCAGTTCAGCTGCATCTGCTGGCCCATCTTCTCCCTTTGTTTAAGTTCTTGGTCTCCATGGCCGCTGCAAGCAGATCACAGCACTGCTGAGGCAGCAATCAATGCTGCTCTGAATTCAGCTTACTACTGAGAATGCCAAGTTTAATCTTGAACTCAGTGAAACAATCCAGGGCAACAGAATGAGTAATTCATGTTGCAAATCATTAATGACTGTGAAGCTTTGAGAAAAAGAAGTCGCTGTCATTTAAATGGTGAAGGCAATTTCTCTCTCCTTCTCCTAGACCTCCCAAGTCAGCATATCCCTCTCTAGCATAGAGGATGATGGTGCTTCGCTACTTTGAGCTTTCCCAGGGCAACCAGGACTAAGTCTCACCTGCAGCCCAAGTCCTCTCTATCTCCTTCTGTCCCTACTGCAGCCTACTGCGAGCTGAAACAAAGAGCACAGCTGTCTCTAGGCAGACCTGCTTCAAGAGTGACAGGAATAATGCAGCTTTAAAATACCTGAGCAAAGCCCTGACTAGACTGAAAGGAGCATGCTTTACAGCTGTGCCTACAGGTACCTGATCAGCACCCCTCAAAAGGGATGCTTAATCAGTGTCACAGCTGCCACTGAGGAAAAAATAATAATAAAATAATTGAGACTGCCTGGCTACAGGTGAAATTTAGAATGGAGGTAATAGGAGTTTTATTCCTTAGAAGGAAGTAACTCCTATGCTTGTATAAATATATCTGGATTTCACAGCTTTACTTTGTTTCCTCAAAAGTGAAAATGGTAACTTGGGGACACCAGTAAGAGTGTCCCCAGGAGCAGATGGTATATTGTTTAAAGATCGATGAGTTGCTCTTTCTTATCTTTGGGTCTCTACCCCTGAGAACCACACCAACTAAGCTGAAGAAAAATGATTTATGTCAGTGAAGTTAAGCAAGTGTCTGCTGGCTTGGAAATAAATTCTTACCCTGACTGCCTGGACCACTGACCTGGCTCCAGAGGCATCCTGTACAGCAACGGGTGGCTGCTATTCAATTTACATCCAAGCTCAGCTCTCACTGAATCTAAAGGTATGCCATGCACTTATTCAGAGAAAACAGAAAGGCAAGTACACATCTTGTTTAATGTCATTGGACCAACAGACAGCACAGTACCAAGGCAAGGTACCAAGAGTGTAATGATTAAGGCCTGATCTCAGCAGTGAGTGCCTTGAAAGCCAGTGGCAATGATGTGCTAGGTGCTCTGGTTTCATTGTAGTAGTGTGTGTGGAAGGAACTGGAAAGCGAGCAAACAGCAGGAGAAACCTTGAGAATGTGAAAGTTAAAAGGGTTAGAAAAACTCGTGGCCTCCTGGAAGGAAAGCTTTATCTACACAGAACTGTGTTTAAAAAGGCTGTATTTCTCCATCTTTGTATCTGAACAGGATTGCTGTATCAAAAGCAGTAGCTCTTTCTGCAGCCAAACATGACCAACTTGCTTAGTTGTGCCTACCTGCCTCAGGATTAGCACTTACAAGTCAGGAGTGTGGAACAGAGGCCCAGTACCACAAAGTTCAAAATCTATCCATTCCCAGTGTAGCTTGTGAAACAGTGGGATCTGCACCAGCTTGTATCAGCAGACACAGCCCTTTAATTCCCATCATCGCAGACCAGCAATTCATTAAAGACATATCTCAGAAATACACCAGACTTATCAGAGCAATCACTTTCTCGGGAATCATTAGAACAGCAGAGTTCTAATGGCCCATGCTTAGATCCTGCAACCCTTCCAAGCACAGGGGTTCCATCAACAGACCCTAATGCTCACTTTTCTTTGTACAGTCCTTTGTGATTACCTATCTGCATGGCAGCTAATAGGGTGCTTATTAAAGTCTTCACTTTAAAAAAAGATTTTTAGAAAAATCAGTTATTAGTCAAATAACCCATTTGCATAGGTATTACTTTCATACTTCCAATTACTCTTGTCATTTCCTAGTTAAAGGAGCAGCATCCCATTCAGAAGGATAGCAGATATGAATTTGCCTTCAAAGGAGCCCAAAACACAGAGCCAGGTCTGAATACTGCTCTGATGATGACTTACAGGAAAAATCCAGCTTACAGTGCTGCAGGGCTGAATCCATACAGTTTTAATAGGCAGCTCTGAATCAAAATCAGGAACTGCAGATCCAGCTCCAAAGCTAGCATTTGTTTTTGATACCCTGCTGCTATACCATAGGCAAGCAAAGCACAAACCTTGGGTTCCTCTTAATGCTGAACACTTCATTAACAATATTAACAGTTGTAAAGAACACACTCTGCATTAAGTTCTTTCTTTCTTGTTCTGTACTTCCCAGCAGTCACACTTGCCTATTCTAACTTTGTTAGCTTGTTCCAGAGAGCAGAGAAAGCAAACCAGCTCCTACTGAAAGAGGGGGCACAAATACTTCACACAAATGGGAGTGAGAAAGCACTTCTGAAGGTCATTACAAGCAAAAACTGAATGCTAGGATGACCCTGAACGTTCATCTCCATAGTAGAATGAATAATGATTATGTTATCAGAGTGACGTTAAATATTGACTATGAACGCATTATAAATGGTTTTCCCCTGTAATTATATGGGCAAGATTAACTGAAGTTCTACCTGAAAGCTATAATTTTTGTGATACTTTGTAACTCTACTTAATGGAACTCGTAATAAATGACCTATACTAGCAGGAAATACAGCAAAACAATTTTTATTTGGACTGCTAAAATACAAGCAGTACATTTCTAGAAAGCTATGTACACATATTTTTAAAAAGCATTAAAAACAATTAGAAATATTATTTAGGTTACTTTGAAGGTAAAAACTTTCTTTACAAGTTGTTTTCATTAGCTGTAAACAAGCTACGCACCATATTTATGCATTTGATTGTGCAGAAAGTTTCAATTAAAACAGGCAAAAATTCTTGACAACTTTTCTGGCACAACTTTTGTTCTAAGTATTGCTCTACTTCTTAGTAAGTTCTAAGTAAAACAAACTGACAAAGAAAAAAGTAGATGGGTTAACTTTGCAGACTGTATTTCCACGAGTGCCTTCACTAGTTGTAAGTGAGCAGAGATTTTGTTCTGAATGCCGAACAGCAATTTGAATCCTTTGTAAGCCAGTTAATTCTCATAATGGACAAAGTGGTAAACTGTACAAACTAAGGAGACTAAAGCTTATCTTTAGGGGTCCCTGAGGGTTTTCTGCAGGTCTCCTTTCCCCTAGAAATGAATATATGAAGGATTTTAATTAGAAGTTCACTAGCTTGGGGAAGCAGTTTCGCAGTCTGTACCTGCGGCTATACATTAAGTGTGAACACTTTTTCTCTGAGCGCCGTCCAGCAGCAGCAGCGCCTCTCCTTTGGGTGAGGTCCCTCCAGTCCCTCCACACGCACTCAACGTTTCGCACAGCACGGCAAGCCAGAATCGTGCTTCCCCGCAGCACCAGCGAGGCGGAGGTCGCAAACGCAGGCAGGCGTTGCAGTCACGTCTGCGCAAGGGGCGCACAGGCTTTCATCCACCGGATGGAGCTGGCGGCCACCTCCACACCCTCCTGCCTCCACCAGCCGCCTTCCGGTACCGCTCTGGAGTCGGGCCACACAGGTAAGGCTGCGCGCTCAGCCTCAGCGGGGCTTCCAAGTGTGAGAGCTCCGGGCGCGGCTCGAAGGCAGCCCCGCCGAGCTGCGTTCCGCCGGCGCTCAGTGGGCGTGCTGCAGGACGAAGGCGCACTTCTTGTAGGCGGCGTACAGCAGCAGGATGGCGCGCATCATCTGCTGGCACATGGCGGCGACCACCCTCGCTTCCGCCTCCCGCAGCCCGCGGGCCCGCCACCTCCGCGGGTCGACCACCCTGCAGAAAGCCGAGCGCTCCGAAACGCGCAGGACGCCGATCCGGCGCGGCGGCTGCGCCGTCACCAGCCGCTCGAAGACGGCGTCGAGGCTCTGCAACCTCACGGCTTGCGGCCGCGGCAACGCGGCCCCGCCGCCCCGCTGCCCGCCCGCCGCCGCTTGCAGGCCGGCCCAGCGGAAGGGGTGCGCCGAGGCGGCGGGCGGAGGTTGCGGCCGCGTTCCCCGCAGCCAGCCCAGCGACTCGTCCAAGGGCGAGGGAGCCCACAGCCGGTAACCGTCCGCCATGGCGCCCCGCGGCCTGCCGGCATCTGCCCGCCGGGCACAGCCGTTGGCCGCGGAGGCCGTCTCCCGTCCTCCCAGCAGCCCTCCCGGCACCGCGGCTTCGTCTGCCGTTGTCTCTTCACACATCGTCCCCGTCCTGTTCGTGCTTTATTCTAATCGTCGTCTGTCCTGTCCCGTCGTCCTCTCCCCCCTCCCCCCCTCATCCTCAGAACTCATCGTTTTCTGACTCAGTTACTGCGATCTGCCTTTCTGCAGCCTCCATTGGAGCTTATCTCCGTGTGCCCCTTGTTTAGGGCTAATCTTGTGTGACCAACCTAGTGGCCTTCTCTGACGGTGTCACTGCAGCGGTGGACAAGGGAAGAGCCACTCGTGTCACCTGTCTGAACCTCAGACCTGAACAGACCTACATGGTACCCCGCAACATCCTTCTCTACAAATGGGAAAGATAGGAGTTTGGTGGGTGGACTGTTTGATGGATGAAGAACTGGCTGCAGGTCCGGGTCCAAAGAGATGGTGGGCAATGGCTCAGTGTCTGGATGGAGACTAATGATGAGTGATGTCCTCCAGGGTCAGTGCTGGGGCCGATGCTCTTTAATATCGTCAGCAGTGACATCAGCAGTGGGGTTGAGTGCAGCCTCAGCGAGTTTGTTGGTGACACCAAGCTGTAGAGTGCAGTGGACACACCAGAGGGACAGGATGCCTTCAGAGGGACCTAGACAGGCTTGAGCAATGGACCCAGATGAACCTCAGGAGGTTCAACAAATCCAAGTGCAAGGTCTTGCACTTAGGCTGAGGGAAGCTCAATTACCAATAAAAACTGGGGGATGAAAGGGTTGAGAGCAGCCCTGCCTAAAGAGACCTGGGGGTATTGGTGGATGGCAGGCTGGACATGAGCCAGCAATGTGCCCTCTCAGCCCAGAAAGCTAGCCAGGTCCTGGGCTGCATCAAAAGATGCATGGCCAGCAGTGTGAGGGAGGTGATCCTGCTGCTCTACTGTGCGCTGGTGAGGTCTCACCTGGAGTGCTGCATCCAGATGTGGAGTCCTCAGTACTGGAGAGACGTGAAGCTGTTGGAGTGCATCCAGAGAAGGACCACAAAAATGATCCATGGAATGGATCATGTCTCCTGTGAGAACAGGCTGAGAGACCTGGGGCAGTGCATGTGCGTAAAGATTAGTGGGCTTTGCCAGGGACTGCTTCTCTAATTCGTGTTCCAATAAATGCTTTGCTGTGGACAGGGGAGGTTGTTGGTGGGTTTTTGCCTTTTTCTCTGCAGTTTTAATGATTCTTGTGGCAAAACCTCGTGGACAACGTGATGATCCTCCCACCAGTAAAGAAATGAGATGTCATGGAAATTATAGCCACAGGTGGCAACTACACTCAGTAAGAAATTTGGTGGTGGTAGGTTGCCAAGCTTGCCTGCAGTAGCTCTGTCTTTCAAGTTGTTGCTGACCTGCTTATCTCTGCAAACAAAATCTTCCTTTTAAATGGTTCTTGTTTGATACAAGGCTGTTGGAATGTGTACATACCAAGAATAAAGGAGAACGTGGGAAGTGTTCTTTAGAAATACCAAAGCAAATAAATATCGAAACAGTCATCACTGTTATGAGAACACGTGAAATTCCCAATCCAAAATAGTGTTTTATTATGCTTGTGATGAAAGGAGGGTCCAATGTCACCTATTTAACTTAGCATAGAATAAGTTTTCGTTTTGGATTAATTTCTCTGGGAATGCATTTTTTAATTCACTCTAGCATCTGTGATTTGCATTAATATATGCAAAGCATTGTAACAGCCATACTCCTTCCAAAAGCAAATCTCTTCAGAATTAAATGTTCTGTTTTTCTAGAGGGAATTGCCTTTTGTTTGAAAAAATCCCTAAACATTAATCTTTTTTTTTTTTTTTTTTGGATAACCAACATACTGAGAGCACAGTACTCTGGCTTTGATAGCAAAATGCACAGAACATTTAGCAGTAGTGGTATAAAGGGTTTAATTTTGCCTGTTATAAAACTGGAAAATTTCTTTACAGTATATGCATATATGTTGGCTACACTGGAGTGTCTCTATCCAGTACTAAAAGCACGTGTGGGTGTCTGTATATATGCATATTATCTGAGTATGTATACATACATATTTTTGGCCTATTCTAAGTGGCAAATCGTGATATTATTTCATTTTCTGAATCAGGTTTTCAATCCTGAGGTCACTACTCAGCCCGTTGATTTAGGACTATTTGCTACTGATTTTACAGGGAGATTTGCTTTGTTAAAGTCTGAATAGAAAACTGATGACATCTTCACATTTTCGGTCTGAGTTAATCCTGGGTGACTGTGATTTGTTTCTTAGGAGCATAGGGGACCTGGAAGACCGCAGTCTGTTTCTGTACTGTTAATGTTCAGAAGTCTACTTGTCCAGCCTCCTGCTTGCTGTGAAACCCTTCCAGGTAATCTTTTTTCAGATGTCAGCATACAGTTGGGTTGTACCTTGCTGTGAATTCCTTGGTCACGAGGAAGAAGTAAAAAGTAATCATTTGAAGATCTGGTAGAGACTGTACCCCACTTTGTTTCTTTAGTTTAGTTTTTGTTTTTATTACTTATTTACTATTATTTACTATTATTCTATTATTATACTATTATTTTATTATATACTATTATATTACTACTTATTATTTACTATTATTTATTTTTTTCAGTCTTGAATCTGTGTTAACTGTATAGATATCTTTAAAATATCTGAAGGATGGCTTTTTGGAAAGACAAAAAACTGTATTTAAGGCTGCATTACTTTTCTTTACGTCTTTCTTGTTGCTCAGCTAGTTTGGTCCCTTTGTTTTGTTTTCTGTGACTCCAGGCCTAAGTACTATTGTACTATTTGACACATTTAGCTTCATAAAAGAGCCCCATGGCTTGTAATTAATAAGAGATGCTATAATCATAACCACTTTCTCACGGAACTGCACTATTTTTACTCGGTTCTTGACATTCAGACTTGTTAACATGCTGACACGTGTTTTACAACATTTCACAAACTTAGCATCTCTACCGTGCAGGCTGAATAGTAAATGCACTTTTCATAGCTTGTATAACTGCTGTTTAATAATAAGAAAAAAGATTCCAAACGGTCTATTTCAGCCATGTCCCTGCTGTGACCCGGCCCAGCCCTCCCTGCAGCCTCTCCCTGCCATGTGCCAACATGGTGGCAGCTCTGCTCCACAGAGCAGCCTGGCCTGGCCCAACAACAACCACACAGCGGTGTGCAATCAGCACTGCCCAGGATGACAGGTTGAACCTTCCCACCAAATATCCTGGTCTGACCAAATGGCCTCTGACATGGAAGTGCGTATGAAACCAAGGTGTGTCGTTGAATTTCTCTGCGCACAAAAAATGGCACCCGCTGACATTCCTTGACGGTTGTTGAACATTCTCAGAGACCAAACAGTGGATTTGAGCACGGTGAGGTGGTGGGTGGTGCGTGTCAGCAGTGATGACACTGACATTGAGTCACTTCCACTGGTGCAGATTTTTACAAGCATGGCATGCAGGCTCTTGGCTGTCACTGGTGAAAATGCGTAGCTATTGGTGGTGGCAGTGTTGAAAAGTAGTTTTTTTGTAGCTGAGAATTTGCTTTATCAAACAGCATTATTGTGTGCTTTGTCTCTGTTGCAGTTTCCATTCACTGGTCCCCATGGAAGTTCAGCAAGCGTCAATGGGACAAGGAGAGAACAGGCTGAGGACAGCAATCCCTAATTGGCCTTCTCAGGGTGGAGAACCCCAGCACCAGGGCCCAAGGACCTCACAGGCCCTCCAAGGAACCCCTTGCAATCTAAGTACAGCCCATAGGATGCCAGGCCCCCTCTTCCCCATCATTCTCCTTTGGAATCAGGGCAGAAGAGATGCCACCTTCTCATACCCAGATACAGAGGTGAGGGAGGGAAAGGGCAGCTGATGGAACCCTTAAAAGTCAACCATTTTTTAATGATTGCATATTCCTTGGCTGCTTGCGTGATGTCAGTATGCTTTGCCTCTTCTCTGCTGCTGTCTGGCACCAGGATGGCTTCACCCTATGCGGCTGCAGGGTCATTGAGAGCCCCCTTCTCCAATCCTCTTGGTACCTTCCTGCAACCATCTCACAGAATGGGCCATGGGTACCAACTCCCAACAGCCGTGTTTTGTTCACCACAGGACACTCAGAATCCTATTGCCATGGCCACCTTCTGTTTCAAGCCCTATAAATACGGGGACCCTGCATACAGAACACCAGTTGCTGAGCTGAAGCAGCCAGTGATACTTGTGAGATATATTAAGAAGTTTATTTCCTGGAATGAGGATGAGGAACCCACCTTTCAAGGAGAGACAGATGATGGAAATGGGTGATGACATCGAGCCCATGGAGGTGGATTCACCTGGTAGTGATGAAGAGCCACATGGAGGTGGGTCAACCTCTGGAGAATGACCTGATGGAAGTGGATCCACCTCCATTGGAGCAGACCGGTCACCAAGCCATCACTGTCAGGCCAACTATGAAGAGATTTGCGCCCCAGAGATTATCATAGGGGCGCTGGGATCAATATGCCTCCCTCCAAACAGCTGCCTCGGTGCAGGTGCTGATCCTCCCATCCCATAGGTTTATTATAACCCGGGAAAGCCCCAGCTCAAGGTCATCCCGTGGGCTCACATGGAGCCTTCATTTCCTGGTAATTCTTCTTTTGACAGCCAAGGCTGTTACGAGCCCATCCTTCCTTTCCTCCTTCCTCATCCTTTCTTAAGGGAAAGAAGGGATTAGAAGTGACAGCTGTACCTGTGGAGAAGCAGACTTTAGTTCAGACAGGAAGAAGCGCTGAACTTCAGCAGGAAGATCCAATCCAGATGCTCCACGTGGACTTTTTTTTTCAAGGTTAGACAGCCAACAATTTAAAATAACAATTCAAATAATAAAAACACAAAATAAACATATTTTTTTTCTTTTATAAAAACTGTAGTTGTCTCTCTTTTTTTTTTTTTTTTTTTTGGAAATGTAGAGTTTGCACATAGGTTCCTGCATCCCCTCCTTGTTTCTACCCAACAGGAACGAACCCCTCATTTCTAGCCAGAGGAAGAAGCACTGCGCCACACACACCGCGGCTGTCCCTGATACAGCAATTTGAGAGCAGGTTTCAAGATTGAAAAAAAAATTTGTTGCTGTAGTTATGACTCCATTCTGAGGTGACATAAATACATTATCTGCAAATTTTCAACTGCAGCGCGTGGAGTTGCAATCAGGCATTCAACTCAACAATCTGATTATGTCGCTTCAGCTGACCTTTGTACCCCCCTCTCTGACCAAAGAGAAATATCCTTCCATTCAGTCACACCTTATTCATGCCATTGCTATTTGGCAGTTCATACATTTGTGAATGACTGTTTTCAAGGATGAAATACAGGAGAGTAACATTTCATCAGAAATCTCATGATGAACATCCTGAGAGCTCGCTGAGAATGGCAGCCACTGCCATCAAACCAGGGTGAGGCATTAGTTTCACAAAAACAAAGTCAAATATCCTACTAGTTTTATGTTTTTGATGCTCTTTTTATGTTTCAATAAATACATATATATTTTAAAAGAAGTTTTGTTAATTATTCTCCTTTTTAGGGCCATCCAGAGGATCACTTCCTCTCCTGTGCAGGAGCAGAGCAGCTGCAGCAGCAGCCTTGGACATTGGCCCCTGCTGCCTCCTGCCTTGGTTCCTTGCAGGGCTGCTCCTGCTGTCCAGGGCTGCGTATTTTGGGGAGCTTGCAGAGCCCTGCTGAGGGAAAACCATGCCACAGTTCTAAAACTGAAAGGTCCTGTTTCCAAAAACAGTGATTTTTTTCCTTCCTAGCTCAACATCTGTACGTACCAGCATAAGACAATTTGAAAAACACTGGAACAAAAGGGTAATGGTTTTCATGTCTTTCGGCTTCGAATTGTAGCTCTTGAAAAGTAATCAAAAATCAGAGCTCGGTATTATGGTAATTGGCTAATGAGTATTGAAGGACAAATGGCCAGATAATTAGCATGATTAAAGACTGAAAGACTCTGTGTTTGATTTTTGGAACATCTTTCATTTCTGTGTTTGTTTTCTGTTTGCTTGCTAACTCAGATGATCTCTTAATGGTTTATTTTAATCTCTGTTTTGCCATCTTTCCTACAGTTCTCATATAAACAAGCACAGCAACTTTTTTCAATGGTTTATGGTAAATCTTCCCTTCCTCTTGCAACCATCACTGCTGTGTAGGCTCATCAGCTCTCTAATGTGAAATTTTGTGGCTTTAGATATTAATATTTGTATCCTCTCATTTTTCATGGTCAGATAAATTGTGCAGTCTTTTCCTTAGGGGTGACTGGAAAAGAAAGAGATTATGTCTGTGTTTGAAATTGTGGCTGAGACAGCCACTGACATGGGAATGAAGATAGTATCTGTATCTGGAATTTTGTCATCTCATTTTTAAGAGATGGGAAGTATGAGAGATCTTCAAGTGCCGATGTCCTCTTAGGGTCTTATCTGCAATGGGCCTTTGGCTGTGCAAATGACACTATTAAGTGCAAAGTCCTTTAAGATAGGCAAGGGGGTGTGAGATAAGCAAAAAAACAGAACAGCAGCAGTGCAGGGAAATGGAGACTGTTTCCTGAGCGGTAATTTCAGAGAGATTTTTTTTGTCTCTTCAATTTTAAGGGATCAGAAGATACTAAGCTTATGTAACCACGTCACCTTCAATGCATTTAGTTTTAGGGGCATTTTCTGTGATGAGATATTGCCGTGCTAACACTGAAATGTCAATGAACATGGGTATGTTCTTCATATGGCTCTGTTTAAAAATAGCCTGTCATTTTTCCTGTTCTAAAAGCATGTCTTAAACTCTATTAAACCGAGCATCTTTTTCAGATGTCATTACAGACTATTCAGTCAATCAGCTTGAAAGATGTTTTCATCAGAACTTTGGTCTGAGCCGTAGTTCTACACAACATGGGAACAACGCAACATGTCCATCAATAACTGCCTCCATCGCTTCATCTGGCAGTGATTTGCATGCAGAAGGGCTCTGCTTATGGCATGCTTTTCTAATTCTTCTCCCATTGGAGGGGGGAAGAATAATTTAAAATGCTGCTGCAGTTAGAAGGTGTCTAAAATGATCATGCAAATCAATACTGTGCTTCCAGCTAGCGGTGTTGGTTTTGTGCCACTTTGTGTCATCATTTGCTCTTAATGAGGAGGCGAAGATTTCAGTGGGAGTTTTGTCATTGGCTCTGGTCACTTAAACCGGTCAGGATTTCATCTATGGGCAGTAAATCTGGACAAATAATAGTGCCTGTTGTTCATTCAGAACACGAGTTGCAGAGCAGAGCAGATGACTTGTTTCCACAAACGTCCCACCTTTGGAATATTTTCTCACCGTGCGTTTCTTCATACTGAACCGATGGCCTTGGAAGTCAGTGGGGAGCATTTGCTGCAATCAGGACAGACACTAGAGGGAGCAGTGATAATGTTTTAACGCTGAAGGATGTGAACAGATCGCATTAGTAGCATCCAAGTGAGCCTGGGGCACTAGGAAAGGAAAGGGCTCCTGGGGATCCAGAGGCTCTTGCCGCTGCTCAGTGCCCCACTGCCCACTCAGTCACCCTTCGGATATCCCACAGGAGTGCTCTCAGTGCTCTGGAGACACTCTGGATACACAATTCCGAAGAAAGGCTGTGTGGAAGAGCACTTTGAATGATAAAAGGAACTTCAGCTGCTCTTCCGAATAACTAAGTGATAGACTAGAATTGCTTTCTTTGATGGAAAAAAAAACAACCCAAAAACCTGCATATGAATCTATTGTCCTTCTGGTCTTCACAAGCGGAGTTTGAAAGCTGAACTTTAAAATTATGTTGGCAGTTGTGTGGATATGTATACACATACATTTTTTCTCCAGTGTTGAAAGAACCTGTAGACTGAAGAAAGGACATAGGTGTTACAATGCCTGAGTTGTTATATGTGTGCCCGGCCCTGGGGTAAAATAGTGTCCACTGTGCAGTGCCTAAGCTCAGGGTAAGGAATGACCAAACAGGATCTGTAAAAGTGAGGACATTGAATAGGAACCACTCAGTAGAGACAGTCAGCTGGGCTGAGCTGGTGGATGAGTAGCTGTCACTGTGTTTCTTCTCTTTACGCTTTGTCATAAGCCACAGAGGCAGCAACTTCGAGAAGAGTTATTTTTGCATGCCACATTTTATTTTACTCCTCCACTTCTTTCCTCTCTTTCCATCTTCTGGTAGTTGTATGAAGTGTGAATCTTATAGACCCACAGCTATAACATCACTTTGGGTATATTCTGCTGTGTTTTTCTTTATAATTCCAACCCTCTGGAATACAATTTTATTAGTATAATACTGAGCCTGAGTAATAGCAATAAATTATTTCACAGGACAGGCGTTTATACATTTTTTGGCCGTTCTTCTAAGCTAGCAGTCAGAAGAACTGTATAAGCAGTGATTTAGTAATGTGGAACAATCTCTTTAACCTGTTTAAATCATTACTGTAGCATCTTGTCTTCTGATACCCTTCAGAAGGAGACAGACACTTCAAAGAGCTGGTCATTCCATAAAACACAGAGGAATATTAAGAATAAACACATAGCTGATATTATAGAAAAAAAAAATAGGAATTTGTTTTAGTAGTTGGTGACACAGGAAATGATCAAATCTTCAAAAGCCTTTAGATTGAACTGAAATGAGCTGCTAAAAATTTGAGCAATTTCCTCAGAATTTTTCGTAGAATCATAGAATCACCAAGGTTGGAAAAGACCTAAAAGATCACCCAGTCCAACCGTTCACCTATTCCCAACAGCTCCCACTAAACCCCGTCCCTCAACACAACATCCAGCCTTTCCTTGAACACCCCCAGGCTCGGTGACTCCACCACCTCCCTGGGCAGTCCGTTCCAGGACTTTTTGTCGTTTCTCCTTTTTCATTAGCTATCCCATTCTTCCTTGTCTTTTCTTAATTTGATGCCTTGCTGTGAATCCTGTTTCGTAATCCATTCAAAAACCAAAAGCTTTGCTTCCCTTTTTCCCTCACTTTTGTCAGGGCTGAATATGGACCAGCCAGAGGTCTGCATAGCACTGCTAAATCGTGCAAAAGGCCAGGAGGGCAGGGACCTCTGGGGACTGCATGGCACAAAGTCCTGCTGTGTGCAGTGCCTTAAGTTGTGCTTTTCAGGGCCCTGTTCGGTCTTGTTATTTCCAGTCAGAGATCCCATAGGACAAATTGTTCCAATCCTTTTTTTGTGTTGGTTTTTTTTTTTTCTGCCTGTACCATTCCTTTCCTTACCTAGATGGACTTTTAAAGCCGTTTGCACCCACTGCTGTTTTTCTGTCACCTCGTATCTTTGTGGAGGGAGTTCCTACATCTCTGCTACAATTATGTTTTGGGAAAAACTCTTGGATCCCCTTGAGCCATCTCTTCTCTAGGCTGCAAAAATCCAGTTCCTTTGACCTTTCGTCATCTGTGGGTTTCTCCAAACCTCCCATAAACAACATTAATTCCAAAAGCTTTGAAAAGAAGAAGGAATGGATGCCACTTTCCAGGTGGCTTTATGAATGTACAAATATATAAATGTCCTTGTGTCAATAACTTATAAAGGGAAAAAACGTGATAGATGGGGCAGACAGAACTTAGCACAGTTATAGTTTGAAGACACGCAAAGAAGTCACTGACATGCCTTGATTATGTGCCCAGAACAGGTCCTGATGAGTGCAAACTGAATTTAAAAAAGGATCTCATCACTGAACATATGTTTTTGCAACTAATTCTACATTTTCACTTAGAAAGTGAGGTGTTCTAAAATTAAATGGCATTATTGTGTTAAAAGAAAAGTATCACTTTTGGCACAGCTCTTAAAGGGGAACAAAAGAAATCGAATCTGTAACTCCAAGCCTGCTTGTGTCA